GCAAGTTATGTTTGCCCAATGGCTTTGAAATTTTTATGGTAGTCTATGTGCAGCATGAGATAGCTACTGTAATTTTTGTAGATTTTTATGAATAGTTTTACTATATATTGCTTAAATCACCTAATTAACTAAATAAATGGGAAAAGGATATTAAATAATTTATTTAGAAGTTAGCACTATACTTTCTGATGTTTTTTAGGTATGAAAAACAAGTTGGTAAACTTGGTTTGGTCAAATTAGGCTTTTGCACCATCATTAAATAATTAAGTTAGCAACCCTGTCATTGCGGGACAGATTCTAGGTCTACTGGAATTTGATTTGGTTAACTTCAGAATCATGCTTTGATGTTTACAAATGAATTGTAGAGAATTTCATAAGCTTTCCAGAATGTCCTCTTGCAAGTCATTTGGAGTTATAGAACTCTGGTTATGATAGAATTAAGTTACTACTTGTTGCATATGAAGCTTTAACTGTTATTTTAAGTATGTCTTTACTATTCTAAGTTCATGGTACTGTTCCTAGGTGTTAGGCCTTTAACTGAAGATGAGCATCTTTATCTTAGGTTATGCAAGTTAGGTAAGTTGCTCTTGTTATTTAAGTTAAGTTGGATACATGCTTAAAGTGATTTGAATAGAGCTAATTACTCGGTAAACGAGTGTCCAGTGATGTTTTCGTAAACACCCATTGTGATTCATTCATCATGAGCATCATGTCATTCCTTATGCATCCATGATATTTATCTTGTGCATCGGCATGCAATAGGTGTACCGGAAGGAGTAACCCTGCTGGAATTCGAGGAACTGAACGAGCAGCAGCAGCCGACACCGGAGATTCAGGAGGAGCAGCCTTCAGGAGAAGTGCCAGACGAGGTCGCCGTTGAGTGCCCTGACCACCGTCCTTGCAACTTTGTGAAAGGCAAGCCCCGGAGCATATTAAGCCTCCTATTTTCCGAACTGCAGTTACAGTATTATTATTACATATATATTGTTGCATTAAGTTTAGGTGTTGGATGCAAACACTTGCTGCATTGGTTACCCACTCCTTGTCCAGATATTGTTACCCTGAATCCTATGTAGCTCAGGCTCGAGTAGTGCTTAGCCCTGCTTAAACGCGGTAGAAGTCGGGTGATTTCCTGTCACCTGCGAGATATAGGATGATACATGTGGCACGGTTGGCTATATTTGCTATCGTGGAAAAGAACCAGTCTTAATTTGAAATGAAGACCGGATGGAGGCTTGCCGGTTTGCAGTGACTCCGTCTGTGTCGCTTAAGAACTGATTCTTAGAGCCTTTCCTGTTCATGTTGAACGCATGCCTCTCTCTTAGTTGGCGGCTCAAGACCGACCCATAAGCCGAGTAGCTCACCTCGGGCCGGGAGTCGATAAGTATAAAGTGCACCTCGGAAGGAGCCCGAGGCGTGAGTCCAAGGCGGGTGATTTAAAAGTCCTGATCGTCTGGCGGAAGGGTAATCCACGAGAGTGTTTGGCTGATCGAACCAGCGAATTTGGTTCCTGAGATGTTCCAAAGGTGACCCACGGCTACCCTTGCAAAGTATGCCAGGGTGAGAGTTAGGAATACCCCCTCAGCTGAGTTGTAATTCGATTCGAATCGCCGTCTCTCCCGGTTAGTGAGAACTTGACGGGCTTATCTCCAATGTAGATACACTTAATAACTTAATGGTTCGGAAATGATGATATGATGATGACAGCCTTATTATACCTGCTATGGTTAATATTGTTTGCTCCTAATAAGTGAGTGCTCTAGTACAGGTGCTAATTTAGTGGACAGGTAAATAATGATAAGCTTGATAATAAGTTTAAATTGGTTACTATAATCATAAGCTCTTTTATGCAACTGTGTCAAGCTAGCCCACCTGAAAAGCCTTGCATGATCCTTGGTGTCTTTTATTTCTGATTTTTGTCGGGTAAGTCTAGCTGAGTACCTTCTCGTACTCAGGGTTTATTTCCCACCTATTGCAGATGACCAGTTCTTCTTTGGTTGCTGCAAGTACTGCCTTCTCCCTGCTGGGGATGAAGACTAGACCGTTGGGCGCGGTCTCTACTAGTTCTCGTACCTGATAATGCTTTTGTGGGACATGACTCTGATCTGGCAATGTATTTGAAACTATGGAGTTAAGTACTAAACTATGTTGCTTCCGCGCATTCAAACTTGGTTTGTAATATTTTATTTGAACTCTGATGGATGTAATCCGAATGCTACTTGTGAAATGTTGTAACGAATGATGTGTTGTGTTGAATCATTACGATCTTGGTTTGTATGTCGAGAGTTGGTTGAAATCCTTCGTGATTTCCGGACTACCGGGATTATGGGAGCTTAAGTACAGGAATTTGATCGCTTCGGTGATTGTTTTTGTACTTACGTTCTTATGATTTGGTCGGTTCTGTTACAGGTGGGCCCTAGCCAAATTAGGGTTTCATAAATGTATATCCTCCTTGTATAGAGTTTGAGTCCCCTTTTATAGGGTATTGTTTGCAAGAGCTACTCTTTACATTTCCTACCCCTTGTCGGTTACAGTACATTCCTGGAATATTCCTATGCTAATACAAGCTTCCTAGGGCAGTTTGGGCATCTTCTTCCTCTATCGCCTTTGCCTATTGGGCCATCGTCGATGACCCGTCATCGACCCACGGCCCAGTAATGCCGCCGAGCGGGGGCTTTCCCTGGTTCCGGGGCCTCCGCCCGAGAAGCCTTCACTGGAGCTTCCCAACCTTCGCTTCTGAGGCCCGAGCCATGGTCTTATTTCGTGCCGTGAGAGCCTCCGCCCCGACCGCGTCCTGGTGTCTTCGTCGTAGCTTCCCGCCTTTACTACTCGACGTCCGAGCCATGGCCTTCACTCATACCGTGACAGCCTCCGCCCCTGACCATGTCCTGGTGCCTTCGTCGCAGCTTCTCGGCCTTCGCCTCACGCGATCGCCGGAGCGGAGGCCTCTTCTTCCTTTCCATGCACACTGTTTGTAAAACTCGGTAGCCGTTAGTTCTTATTGCTGTTGCGAACTTTGTTCTCCACGACTCATAACCGTGTCCCAACACCATCTACCGCAGGTTTCTTTGGGCTGGCAAAGACGTGTCCATACGAGGAAAATGCATGGTTGCATGGCCAACGGTATGCCGACCAAAGGAACTGGGAGGACTCGGTGTGCCGGACCTGAAGCTCACATCCATTGCACTCCAAACAAAGTGGCTCTGGCTGCAGGACACAGACACACAGCGTGCATGGTCATAGCACCCCATCCAAGCTTCGAAGGAGGTTTCGGCGTTCTTCAACACCTCGACCTACACCATACTCGGGAATGGAGCGACCACATACTTCTAGATAGGAAGATGGCTCAACGGTTGCGCCATCCAGGACCTCGCACCAACACTCTCCAGTCTAGTCGATGGCCGGACCCTTCACTGAGCCACGGTCGCGGAGGCGCTGCCCAACCGAAACTGGGTCAGGCACATAACCGGTGGAATCACCACGCCAGCGATACAGGAGTACTTGGACATCTGGGATTGTGTGTGGGACGTTGAGCTCAGTGACACACAGGACACCTTGGTATGGCGGTGGACAGCAGACGGTGTGTACTAGCTCATCAAGATCGGCTTACAGAGCGCTACACTTGGGATCACACCCCCATCCCGGTTGCGATAGGATCTAGAAAATCTAGGCACCGCTTCGAGTCAAAATCTTCTTATGGCAGGCAGTAAGGCGACGGCACTGGACTGCTGACAGGCGAGCACGCCATGGACTTGAAGCCGCGGAGCACTGCTTCCTTGTGACCAGGAAATGGAGTCAATCAACCACATCATTGCCTCTTGCTCCTACTCCAGACAAATATGATGGCACATCCTGGAGGCACTAGGCGCGGATACCTCCCAGGTTGGAAGAGATGGCCTTCAAGCATGGTGGAATGCATGGCGAGCTCACTGGACAGGAGACGAGAGGAAAGGGGTGGACTCATTGTTCGCTCTAGTCACCTGGGAACTATGGAAGGAGAGGAAGGGAAGGTTCTATCGCCAAGCCTCGTCCACGGTTATATAGGTCCTCATGCACATCAAGCACCTGGTAGACCAATGGATAGACGCCGGGGCGGCGATGTTAGCCTATTGTAATTATAGTATGCAGCCCTTGATTTGTGGCATGTAATTATAGTAGGCTGATGTAATTGTAGTAGGTTGTCCTTGATTGATTGTGCATGTAATCTTACCTGATTGGTTGGCTGCATGCACCCTGGCTATATGTACACCCGTACAAGATATGGATGTTAATTCAATCTAATCACGTTTACATAGTATCGAAACGTTCTGTTTTTCCATTTTGTTGAGAAGTATATGGACACGATAATTTGGAGAGCACGTCAACGGGGGTGCTACTAGGCTTGCAAGCACTCATCCCGGCCCGCTCCAATATGTCCTGAGTGTACTGCCGCTGAGAGAGAAAGAAGCTGTCATCTGAGCAGGTGACTGAGATGCCAAGAAAGTGATTTTGTCGAGGCCAAGTATGATACTTCACTATTCACATATCATCGAGGATCCGATACTGCATATTTGCTACTGTATGTTGATGATATCGTTCTCACCGCCTTGTCAGCTGGTTTCCTTCACCATATCATTGCCGCTCTCCGGGATGAATTTGCTATGACAAACATGGGCCAACTTCACCACTTTCTTGGCATCTCAGTCACCCGCTCAGATGACGACTTCTTTCCCTCTCAGCGGCAGTACACTCAGGACATATTGAAGCGGGCCGGGATGAGTGCTTGCAAGCCTAGCAGCGCCCCCGTTGACGTGCACTCCAAATTGTCCGCCGATGAGGCAGCAGCAGCAACCTCGGCCTGCTTCATCTTGGCGTAATCGATAAGCCTGTCGGCGTCTGGCAGCACCGCCTTGGCCGCGTCGAGCGCGCCGAACCGCTCCAACCACGCGTTGAGGAGCGGGCTCCTCGCGGCGTCGAAGAGCCTGAAACCATAGAGCTTCTCGCCGGCGTACACCCACGAGCTAGGCCAGGCTGCCTAGCGCCACGTCCACGTACCCAACGCTGTCGCCGCCGAATAAGGGCTTATTACCCTTGGAGCACTCCTTGAAGGCTGCCTCCAGTTGGTCCACCGCCGCAAGCGTCTGCTTCAGCCCCTCCGCCTTCTCCTCGTCCGTCTTGCCCCTGAACGACTGCAGCCACGAGGGCAGGAGCTGCAACGGCACGCCACACATCCGTCATATTTTGGGAGGGAAACATATGCAAGAAGGCATGACGCGTCGCGCTGCATGGCATACCTTGTCGTCGACATAGGCGGCCCAGAAGGGAGCAATAGCACGTTCGTATGGGTCGGCAAGAAGGAGGGAGGGACCGGTGCTTTCGAAGGCCTCTTCGATGTACTGCACGATGATCTGTGACCCGCAGATGGGCTTGCCGTTGTGGATGAGCACGGGAACCTTCTTGTGCACCGGGTTGGAGCTGAGGAGGAGGTTGCTCTTGCTTTGGAGGTCCTCCGCGATGTACTCGTAGCTCAGGCCCTTGAAGCTGAGAGTGAGCTTCACTCTCAGAGCAAATGGGCTCGCCAAGCTGCCGAGCAGCTTCAGCTCATCACCACCTCCACCTCCACCTCCGGCTCCGGCCATTTTCTATTCCTTGTTCTGGCTCTTTTTACTTTGTGTTCCTCTGCTGTGCTCTTGAGACATGCCTATATATATACATGCTGCTTGCCTGCTTGGGGTGAAAAAGGTATCTCATCCGTGCATACTCGAGATTCTTACTTTGCATTTGCCGTTGTTTATTTGATGATCAGGATTTCCCGCGCGGCCACTTATTATTCCTGTGGGATAGTGACAATCTGCGACGGCTCTTGGATCATCAGAGAGCAGCTAGCATTAGAAGGAAGCAAATCCTCTGCCTCATCAGTGAATAGTTAATGCAGAGATTAGTGCATCTTGAGCGATGGAGGAGATTAGTGCGGACCAAAGGTGGCCACAGCCTCATGGGCTTTTGGAATTCTCTTAAAGTAAATAATGATTGTTAGGCTTAAATTTTAATTTTCACTTGAGGTTGTAGCAAACATAGACTCAATGCCATGTTTTTTTAGTATTTTTGGTGATTGAGATAACACAGTCAATAAGAATAACAAGTGGTGTAAAGTTCGGAGAAGAAACCAAGTTCAACCATGAAAACACAGAAAAATATGTACTCTGGAGGATCCAAGGGTGGCAAAATCGAATGCATACATAGGACAATCAACTATTTGTCCAGTGATCATAGTGACTGCGAACAGTGTGTAGTTGTGAATACCGAATAGTCCTATGAAGGGAGGAGAAGATCACTGCACAATTATACTTTATCAGACGAGGAACAGAGGCTGCGAATTTAGGAGCACAGTGCACTGGATAATACGTTGGTGAAAAAGTTGAGAGCACTAAACAATTGATTGATTGTGCCGTGGCTGCACATAGCAGAAGCACTATGCAAAATAGAGCACCTTTGACTAACAAATTTCCACCATAGACTTACTTATTACTGTATTTATAAAGTGTGGGTACAAATGTCAAATAGATTGTTACTCTTACATCCATTAGCAAAGCTAAAATCTAATGGTACACCGGTTACACTACTATAGATTGTGTTTCCACTGCCTGAACTTTCACCGTCGATTCAAAGGCAGGCAAGGCGTAGTGGGGTGACAAACTCGCGGTGATAAATGTTTTCACTGCCGAATTGGCGTATGATCTGGCAGTGAAGACCGCTGTAAACCGGCGGTGAAAACAAGGAGTTGACACGTGCCTAGTGACATGGCAGGTGACGTTGTATATACATCAATTAATAATAAAAGTAATAATCGTCATAAATTTGGATTTGGTGGAGCTGATCCATGACGGTTGCTTTCTACAATTGTAGTTGTGGGCAAAGCCCCTTTGTCACATGGACAAAACACGCATATTTAAACAATTGTAGTTGTGGGCCAAACCCCTTTGTCACATGGACAAAACACGCATATTTACGCATATTTAAACAATTGTAGTTGTGGGCCAAGCCCCTTTGTCACATGGACAAAACACGCATATTTAAACAATCATAAAGAAACAAATTATTATGGCTAATGAATGGCTAATTTAAGGCCCATTTCACGTACATACCAATTACAAGCCCATTTGACAAGATTGAAAATCAAAACAAGGAGCACGTTAATAGCCTGTTAACATTGAGGCATCAGTACACTTACATGATCAGTCAGCAGTAGTAACAAAGCACTTCATAGGAAAAAAAATTGAACTTCACTATACAATCTGCTATCACATGACACCGTTGCAGCTAACCCACCAGCTCGATCCGCTTCTTGTAGCTCTATCAAGTTCAACTTGCAACACTATCAAGTTCAACAATAAAGAACAATATTAATATCAGCATCATAAAAACAGTATTAGTCACGTGCAAATTGACATCATTGGATACAACACTATTCATAGAAACATTTTCGAAAACAGAAATATGAGTAGGTAAACTACTTTATCTAGCGCAAGATTGTCACATTGTGTCACCCTGATCGCTTCTCTTATAATCCGTCTTTTTCATCTTGTTTTTTCAGCCGGAATAGTATTTTTCTCTCACAACAAATCAGCCGGAACAGTGTTTCGGCTTGTTTTTTTAGCGAAACGAACGGGGCCATATACATGTCGAAGTGCTAGTAAATAAAAAACTAGGTTGCTACCCAAACCCATTTTGGAATAAAAGTGCTTGTTAATTGTGAATAATCAGTATGAATTTAGCAATCATCTGAAAATAATACAAGAAAATTATATGCACACCTCGTTCCTGTTGTTAGCACGATTAGCACACACAAGTGAAGGGGCAACAGGAGCAATTGTCTTAGTTTCTACCAGTTCTTGTTGATGTTGGATTTCTTTGGAATAGAAGTGCTTGTTACATATACATGAATATTCAAATATATTATTCCATCCTTATGTAAGTAGGTGCGAAACATCTGAAGGTTATATACCAAAATTTAAAATATTAGGTGCATAGCTAACAGCATAAAAAAGTATTCCTAGGTGCCATATGGATACTCGGAGTATTTCTATTAGTACAGAATCCTATTTCACAACATCAGAATATTTTCAGATAGAGAAGTTAGGCAGGTTCCCAATTAATTAGAGATGACATGGTTTCAGTTTGTGCATCAATTTTTAGATGATCCCATGTGGTAGAAAACTTAAACATTGAAAAAAATACGACATATAAGATAAAATATGTATGATCTAGCTTGTAAGAATTAACAAAAAAATCATACCGATGATGAAAATAAGGTTCAGAACTGAGACAAACCAAATATCTAACAACATTGGCCTCCTCAGCTTCCTTCATCAAATCGGCTCTGCGACATTAATCAACCTTGCAACTGCATCAACGTTTGCCGATTGGTATTCAGATTACATTGGAGACAAAAAATATGTACTAGGCCATCACTCAGTTTGCTTCATCATCCTTGAAACAAATATCAAGTATCTGAGATGCTCACATTAAATATGATACGTAATTAACATGTATGAAAATTTAATTTTCATCTAACAGTTAGGAACAAAATTTCTGCTTTTTCTCTGCATTACCGAAATTAAATCAGATATGTACTAGTGCTTAGTTATCTATATATTGCTTTTAACATGATCTCTATGCGCCCCAACATAATTTCAATATGAACTAGACTACCTAAACAGAAGCGATTTGCTATTTTCTAAGGTTTAAATGATATTTTTTTGCACGGTCTTAAAAATAAATCCAACTTGAACAACATGTTATGCCAACCAATATCCAAAAATTAGACAAAAATATATACAAGAATACAGGTTTGATTTGACCTCACATCCTGAAAATTGATGGAAATAAAGTGTTTCATTTGGGATTACTCGAACTTGTATTTTGGTGGCTCCAACGGAAAAAATAGTAATAATATCCTAAAGTGGTCCAAAAATCCTAAAAATTAGTATGTGGGCATACTATGAGTGTATAAGCTCGTTATAAAAATTTCAAAACATTTTAATAAAGTAGGGTTGTACATTGTTCACAAATTCATACATCTCTCACATAGTTACTTATAGCTATGTGAGAGATGTGTGCATTTGTGAACAATGTGCAATACTATTTTCTTAAAATTATTTGAAATTTTTATGGGATGATTGTACATCAAAATAATCTTGTCATGCAAGTTTGTAGAATTTTCTAACCAATTTTAGATATTATTACATTTATTCTATGGTAATTCAACAAATAATTACAATGATAATTAAATTTGGTTAGAAAATTCTTCAAATTGACACACCAACATATTTTAGGTCCATAAGTATTCCATAAAAACTTTAGGCAATTTTAATAAAGTGAGACTATACATCTTTCACAATTATAACCATCTTTCACTTAGTCATATAACAAAGTATTAGATTATCTATTTTGACATAGTAAACAACTTCGGGATAGTAAACAATTTCAAATGAAAAATTAGTCAACAACAAAGTTATAGAACTCATCGAGTCTATAGCTTTTGTTTTAGCCATTTCTCCATCAAACATTTTTTGAACAATTCAAAATTTAAATTTCAAAATTTGAGAACTTCGAACATAATTTTAGGCTAGTAAATGATTTGAAATAAAAAAGTCATCAACAACAAAGTTGTAAAACTCATCGGGATATATAACTTTTATTTTGGCCATTTCTCCATCCTACTTTATTTGAACTATTTGAAATTTAAATTTCAAGATATGAGAACTTTGAACATAATTTTTGGATAGTAAGTGTTTTCAAATGGAAACATTGTCAACAACAAAGTTGTAGAACTTATTGAGATCTACAAATGAGTTCTACAACTTTTGTTTTTGTCATTTTTGCATCCAGCTTTGTTTGAATAATTTTAAAATATAAAAATTTCAAACAAAATTTTGGTATAGTAACTAATTTCAAATAAAAATGTCGTAAACAACAAAGTTGTAGAACTCATTGAGATCTACAACTTTTGTTTTTGTTATTTTTCCAAAAAAAAATCGTTTGAACTTTCACAATGTGCCTTCTTTATTCACTTGATAATGGAAAAAATGAAGTGGGTCACAAATGAGAATGAGGCCATGATTAGAATAGGCCCAGAATCTGGTCCAATAATTTGAAATTGTGAACTTCAAAATATGAGAAATTCAAACAGAATTTTAGAATATCAAAT